TAAAACCAATTTTGACCAAAATTCATTATGATGAACTAAAAATTATGAAAAATCATTAAAGCTTTAAAATGTTCATCATAATACACTCTTCAACATACATGAGATGAAAAATATAAATTATTTAAAATTAAAGCTCATGCATGCTTAAATCTAAATGAGCAACCAAATAATCAAAAACAAAAGCATTAAGCTTAGAGGTTACCCATTCCTTTTTCAAGTGTGGTTAGAGCATTTGAGTATCGTCACTTTCATCACCATTGCTCCCATACACCTACAATAGAGATTTAAGTAGATTTTGGTAACCAAATTGGTTTGGATCCTTGAACGTTAGTTTTAATGCCCCTTGTTCCCTTAGGAACCCATACTTGTCTAATTTTAAAAGATTTTCTTTTCTTTATGGGACATGCATGTTCCATATGGCCATAAAAATAGCAATGTGAACATTTTGTCATTTTTAAACACAATGAGTTGTTTTTAGAAATTAATTATTTTTCTTTTGTTAAGCTTTCAAGTTTAACATTCAAATGAAAAAAAAAATCTAAATAATTGATTTTGACTTTTTAAAGCTCTAAATCATTTTTCAAAGATTCATTTTGTTTTTCAAATTCAACTTTTGATTTCAAAACCAAATCATTTTCAACTTTAAGTTTTGAAATTAATTTCCTATATCTGGAATTCATGGTCTCAATTTCCAAATACAACTCATTGTAAGCAACTTGTAACTCATCAAAATAATAAGAATCTAATTTATTTGAGTTAGAAGTTACCATTGAATCTTCTCCGATGGCCATGAGGCATAGGTTGGCTAATTCATCTTTATTATTGGAATCATCTTCATTACTCCAAGCCACCACAAATACCTTTTTCTTGCTTGATCCCTTCTTCTTTAGGATGAGACATTCATACATGACATGCCTCGTTCTTTGACATTCGAAGTGCATCGGGGGCTATTCTTTTTGCTCAATTCATGCATCACTTCCTTAGAAGCCGTGAATATCTTGAATCTTTTGAAGAGCTTGGACATCTCTTCTCTTTCTTCATCGTCTTCATCCACCTCTTCATTTGAATCTTGATTGATCTCATTTATAGATTTAAAGGCAATGTCTACCTTATTCTTCTTGTTCTTATTTTCATCATATTCTTCTTCCTTTACCATCAACTCATGAGTGATAAGAGAACCAATAAGCTCATCAAAAGTGAGAGACTTTAGATTCTTAACCTCAATGATCGTCGTCTTCTTCGATTTCCAAGACTTTGGAGAAGAGTATATCATCTTTCTCACAATCTTCTCATTAGGGATTACTTCTCCAAATCCCTTGAGACCGTTGACAATCACGGAAAATATATCCTTCATAGCTTTGATGTCTTCATCCGGTTTCATCTTGAAATTTTTGTAGCTATGGTTGAGAAGACTTATCTTGGTTTCCCTCACTTCATCGGTTCCTTCATTAGTGACTTGGAGCTTATCCTATATCTTCTTGGCATTGGAACAAGTGGAGAATCTTCCATATTTATCCGGTCCTAATGCATAAAATAGAATGTCCATAGCCTTGGCATTGAGTTGGAATTTATCTTTCTCTTCATTACTCCAATCATCTATCTCACCGGTTGGAATAGAGTATCATTTCATGATTGAGTTCCAAACTCCTAGATCATTGGCTTGAATAAAGAGCATCATCTTATTCTTCCAATGGGCATAATTTGCTCTATTGAAGTAAGGTGACTTGTTAACCGATTGAGAGTCTTCAATGCAGTAAGAGCCGGAGGTCGAAACCATCTAATTATCGGTTGCATTGGGAATTATTATATCTTCTTATAAGATTGTCTTAAGGTTGTTAGACCTTCTAATGAGTCAAGCTCTGATATCAATTGTTAGGATTTGGTGAAGGTTAATTTGAACAACCGAAAAAGTGCCAAGATGGTGAATTGGTAAAAATTGTTTAGGGAGTAAGGAAAAAGAAAAGATAGACAATTTTTCACAGCAATTTATAGTGGTTCGACTTGTCAACTAAGTCTACATCCACTACCTAAGCTCCTCACTTAGGATTTTCCAACAAATCCACTAATTTGTTCTTTCTTTTTCAAGGATAAAGAGTAACCTTTACAAACTCCCTAGCTTTTCAAAGGCTTAGCTAGAACTAAAACCCCTTTACAAGGAAAAAGATGTAAACAAAGAAAACCTCTAAAAAGGAAAGTGTTTGCAAAGATTAAAGCTCACAAAAACACAATATTTATAATTAAAAGAAAATAAAGAGTGAAAAATGTTTTTCTTGTGTTTGATTGCTTGGATAGGTGTTCTAACCATTCTTCAAGTGTCTTGAACTTGTATTTATATGTTGAAATGTGTTTGTGGTCGTTTCTAGCCGTTTAGGAGTGATATTTAGTCGTTTGGGGATGTTTTCTCTGCAAAAATAGACTACCCAGGACAGAGGGTATCGGTACTCCTATAGGGAGAATCGATACTACCTTCGTAATATTTAAATAAAACTATTCGTTACTAGCCGTTGGGCGTGACGGTATCGATATTATCCTTCATGGTATCGATACTGCTATGTAAAGTAGTATCGGTACCTATTTTACATTCTAGAATTTGAGCAAGCTGGTAGTATCGATACTACCTAGAGAGTATCGATATATCTCTTACCTAGGGTATCGGTACGACATGAACAATATTAGTATTGTTCATATAGTATCGATACTGTAAGAACAATATCGATACTTCATACATGAAAATCAATTTTGTTCTCAAATTCACTTTTAATGGACTTTGAATTATTTTTGAAAACTTTGGAAACCTTGAATAAATTAAATCAAGTCCAAAAGCATTTTGCCTTAATTTGTTATATCAAAATATTATAAAACATGGTTCAACATATTATTTATAATATAATTTAATATGGAATGATGCATTATCTTTTAGGATTAAATTTTTTATTTTATTAGGAATTAAGATAGAGTTAAAATAATTATCTTTAGTTTAATTCTATTAGGACATCTTTTATTTATTATTTTATTACATAGTTATGTTACAACAAGGATTCCTCCTCACCTATATAAAGGAGGTTCCTCCCACTATTGTAAATACATCTTTTTTTTTAATCATAATACAATGTGGGTACATTTTTGCAAGAGTTGGTTGTCATATGCCTTCGAAGCTTCTTTTTCTTTTAGTTCTTTTCAAGTTCTTAAAAGAGAGATCTTCACACTCCGGTTTACTTTTTCATTGCGATTAGGAGGGCTGGTTAGAGCTGTATTATCGAGTTTGCCTTTTCATTGTGACTAGGAGGGTTTGATAGGACATTTATTCATCTATCTTCATCTTCCACAAATCCATTATCCTTTTTCCTCCATTATTGTCGCCACATCCATTGGTTAAGTTTAATCTTTCCATTACGTATCTCTATTTTATCTTTATCTATTCTTATCTTTATTTTTATCCATCTTTTTTACCCTTATTTTTCATTGTCTTAATCTTTGTTTCTTTGTCTCAATTTCCAACCACCCTAATCCAAATACCTACATTCATTACCACCGCCCATAACTTCCCATTCTTTCCCTCTCGTTCTTTGATCGAGTCTAGAGCTTTCTAGGTTTGATTCTTCAACGAAGAGCAACGTTCATCATCCATTGTGGCATCTCTATCATTAGAATACATGTTAAACATTGTGTTTTATATCTATAATTTATTTTATAGGATAAAATTTATAAATGAACATTAAATTATATCAAAATGACCTTTTTAGACATCAAACTTTCAAAAGATACATAATAAGTATTAAATTTTAAATTTTGTAACAAAATGAGCACAACGCCATTATTTGTCATTAAAGGGATGATCTGACATGCTAAATTAATAAAAACAAATTATCTTATTTGACCTTTAATTATGACTAAAATTTTATTTGACTATTAATTTTAATTAAAATAATTTTTATTATGTTCGTTAAATTGAAAATAAAATGAATATAAATAAATCAAATATTATTTTTAGTGTCATATTATAAATATAAAATTTATACCATATAAATTACTTGATACGTTATTAAAGTCAAGGATTATTTCGATCTTTTTATTTAAGTTTAGATGTATTTTTCTTAAAAACGTGTTATTATAATTTTCTAAATGTATCTTTTTAAATAATGTTTAAACTTCTTAAACAAAATTCAAATGCTTGAATCACATCCTTTAACAAAAAGAAAAAGTCAATATTTGATAATTCAATTCTTTAGATTTCAAAAATTATAAATTGTAACTTTTAAATTTTACAAACAAGATTAATAAGAGAAAATAATAGAATGATCGAACTAAAAATTTTATTATTGTTTAGAAACCAAAATAGGTATTACGACCATGTTCTCAATGGTTAGTTGGTTGTCACTCTAACCTTGGCAAGGTTCGAGACTTGGTGGCTTTGATCCAAACTGAACCTCAAAAGTATATCAAAATAGAAGTACAAAACTACTTTACTTTCTATTAAAAATTTTAATAGAATTATTAAAAATCCATTGCTTTTAATTATTTATTATAATGACATCAAATTATAAATTGATCCTTCATAGTGTCCTGAACATGCATACATTAAAATAGGAGAGAAATGCAAATAGGGCAAGAATCAACTATATTTATTATCCAAATTGTTTTTATTGTGTAAATGTTGATGTTTTCGTAACGTTAGTTTTAACTTCAAGAGTTCTTATCGTTAGGGGTAGAGAGTACAAACTAGTCTCTCAGTGGACGTAGTTGACCTTGTTGCTGTCAACGTATGTTCCTAGTGGCAACCGACAAGGTCAAACAGTTTTCATGCTTTTCAATTTGGCCCTGTCAGTATGTCAACTTTTAACTTGGATGAAAATGTAATTTAACTGCGAGTTTTCGATCAGTGTTCCACTTAACCAGTAACCAAATTCAATATGCTAGGTATACATATCAATACAAGTTACAGGCAAATAATGTTTTATTGACTCAAAGAATCTCGTGACCAATGAAACTCGGTGATACAACATTTGCGTAAAGAAATCAAAACAAATTTCCTCCTATGCTGATATCAAACCTTCAGGAAAGGGTTCATTATGAGGGTGAGATGAAAGAAATCTCCTACATGCATATAACACGGCTGAATGGAAGCCATCTCTATTTTCAAGGAACACAAAATGGCCAGCCTGCAGATAAAGGAAAAGAAAGATGAGGAGCCTGACATGAAGGATAGCATTTGGATTAACAGCAGTGTATTCAAGGTATTAAAATACAAGCTCTCAGGCAAAAAGATAAGAGATGTTTTTGGCAGATTGCCGCCCAAGTTATTTCTTATATAGTGTAGAAGCAAACAGACCTTAGGAACCCTGATAACTTCAGATGGGACCTTCATTTGCTTGCAAGCTGCTTGGGCTCCTTGGTAGTCCATCCAATCTTCAGTCCCATATATAAAAGTAGATGGCACTTTCCACTCAGATGCACTGTTCACAAATATATACGACAAAAATTAAGCTATTCAATACTGTCTTCCAAACACCTGAAATCTTCATTGTTAGTATAATGCAACACTGATCTAGATTCTAGCTAGGGACTCGTATGAATTCCATATTAGTCAGTTTGAAATTATGAAATGTGCTCCAGCCTCTAGGTTTATGATCATAACATTCATCTGTTTTATTTTTTCATCATCGATTTAAAGTGTGGTCTAGGTTCGAAGAAGTGCACAAGCCTATTAGATGCTAAACGCAATGGTTATATGACCGACCACAGTTAGTGATGCTTATTAGTTGTGCATTGATGCACATATTTCCCAACCAGGAGAAAAATGTGTGAATTGCTCTGGACGGAGTTTTCAAATTAAAGTAAGATATCGTATATTCCTAAGATTTAGACATAATCTTGATCGATATAAACATAGGCAGGTACTGTCTAATGAACCCAATTTAAAAAGAGTAAACAAACACTTTTGCAGAACCAATAAATGAGTATAATAAAGCAGGGTGTCAAACTGTTTAAAAGGGGCGACCGAGCAAATGCTCCAAATGCAAATATATATTTTAAGCATAGCTCTCCACTTGCTTCGGAAGCTGAGATATGGTACACATAATCTTCAACCACGAAGAACAGAGAAAAGCAACCGTTATACATCGATTATTTGTTAATAGAAAAGCTATAGACAAAAAAAAAAAATCCTACAATTCAAGATAGAAGTCTAGACTCCTCTGTAAATACACCCTCTACTGAATATCTGGGACTAAACCTAGCACCTGTATACTTGCGTACAAGATCTGGACCCCAAGGACCTAAGCCTCTGCATACAGAATCAACCAATAAATGTTCAAAAGTAGTACATTAAACTACTTGATGAAAAATGCAATCAAAGGCAAGAGAATTTATGGAAATCAATTAAACAAATAGGAGTGTGAGGACTTTGACAGCAACATATAAGAACAAAGGAGACCTACAAATTTATCCGAATAACAGTTTAAGATAGATGTAACCTACACAAAACATGAATATGAATGAGAATAACCTACATAAGAACCAATGAAGATATCACTGATTCTTCTCAATCGCGATAGGTTAGCAAGGCAATTCAGAGCAACGTTTAATAGCAAAGCTTGATTTGTGAGTCAGGCTAACAAAATAGAACCAGAAAATTACAAACCTTATAATATTCTGAGGAATAAAATTAGATTCCCACAAACGTCTCAAAATTAGCCCCTTCCATGTTTCTCTGAAGCGGTTTACAGACTCATATTTTTCTTCTGATCCTGATGAAAATCCAGCATCCCCCACTAAAAATTAAGTGTTGAACATGCTCAGGATGCTACAGGATTAACACAAGGGACATTAGAATAAGAAAAACGTGGTATCAAACTACTTGTTGCATTCAAACAATTAAAGGCAATCACCTTGAGAGCATATTTAGCTGCAACATATCCTCCAAAAGAATGGCCAAGTAATATAAAGTTACTAAGATTTGTTGCTTTGATCCATTCCTCAAAAGAATCAATAAACCATGCCTCAGTTTCTGCATCATAACACACCATATGTGAATATACATGTTTAATCGAACTTTTAATGCATGAAGTGGGACAAGGAGATTATTTGTTCACTGACCTTCAGTACTTTTGCATGTAAAATCAGGCCTACTTGATCCACCCCAACTGGATAGAAAGGTGAAGAAAGAATAAGAAAATATAACAGGATGTTGAAATCAATTGCAAAAATACAAATTGCAATAATGAGGATAAGTGTTTAAATTAAGACCTGATAGTAAAGCATAAACAAACTCGTCAACTGAAAAACAAGCCAAATTCATAGCCTGTAAGGCAAAGGGAGCTTACCCAAGCTGATCAATAGCAATGACCTTGAAACAATTGGCGAGAAAATCAAAATTCTTGAAGAAGAAACCTTGAGAAGCAGCGTATCCATGCACCATAACAAGCGTGGGGTTGCGGATTTTGTTGCGGATTTTGTTGCGGATGTGGTTGCGTTGTTACGGTTGCGGCTACTGCGGACGTTACGTAATGTGTTGCGGCTGTAGCGAGCATAATATCTTCCTCAAAAATCACAATACGTCTAAAATATTATATTTATACATTTTAGGGTTATCTTTTAATATACTAATATTAATATACTCTTTTAATATTTTATTTTGAAAATAAAAATTTAATTTCATAGAACAAAATTTATTAAAAACAAATATAAACAATAGAAGTGTTATCATACTAGATAATGGGTAATAACAATTATAATGTTAATGAATAACATATAAACATTATCACTAAAATCATATCAATTTTTTTATATTGTAACATAAAAATGTTCATTTTACATAACTTAGAAAGAAAAAAAATACATAATTATAAATATAAAAATTTTATATCTTACAATTCACCACTAAAATGAATAGCGTGGCAGATCTAAAACATTTCCATCTTTGTTATTGTCTTGGTTTTGATTCCTTCCTATTCCATGTGAAGAAGACATCACATTATGTGCATCATAAGATGTATCATTAGTAGAAAATATGTTGTATGATAAAATTTTATAGTAAATAGATTTGATAAAATTTTATAGTTTCATAGTAAATAGATAAAGTACATATACTATTATAATATTATAAAGTGAATTCATTTCTTATAGAAAATTTATATAATAATAAATAAAATATAATTATGATACTTAATTTTAATATAAAAATTTAATTTAAAATTAATCACGTCAATTTTAGATATGAAAAAAATTAATTTAATTTAAATTTATTTAATTTTAAAATAACGTTAATAAATAATTTAATTAATTCAAATTTAAATAATTAATTTTAAACATAACTATTACGATATTATTAATGATATATATTTATAATCCAGTTTTAAGAATTAAATTAGAACAATTCATCTATGTAATTTTATATTTCAGATAATTTAAAGTTTGTTGCGGCATAAATTATAGCGTGTTGCAGTGTTACGTAACGGTTTTTTAACGCAACAATCGTGATGTGGTTCCTTTATCGCGTTGCACCGATATTACGCCGCGGTAACCTTAAAAAACGTTACGATGCAAACGTTTATGAACCTCGGCTCTTTGCTTGAAGAACGGAACCACCTAACTGTAGAAGCAGGCGTACCTGAACCTATATTCACTTGTTCTTGCACGTATGGAGTCCTAAAATTTCAATAACCCATTCAAATTTATAAAATTCTCATAGGAGCTTCCACCCAAATCAAGACAATTAATTGATATAATTAATCTAAACTGTTATAAATAAAAATAATAAAGATTCAGAGGAACTTGTATTTAAGTTCCGGCTTTTCCTATTGTATATAAGCTCAAAATAAGAGAACCCTAACAAAGGTGACAATGATAAGAAATCGTAGGTTTACTTACTTGACGAGGGAGAGAAGGCGTTTCTCGGATGCGATGATGTGATCGACGGAAGTAGGAATCCAACGAAGAACAGAGGGCCATAACGATCTGAATTTCGCTTTAATTGACGGAGATGACCGATGCTCGAGTTTACCGATTTCTTCGTGTTGAAAATTGGTGCAACAACTTGCACCGAAAATAGTAAGTATTAAATGCACCGAAAGGCACATCAACTTTTGTTGAAATTTTCTAAAGGGATAATTACAATTTAGTCTCTGCACTTTAAGGTATTTACAAGATTAGTCCTTAAGCTTCAACTATAAATACTCTAACCCATTTAGCTTCAAAACCATCTCAAATCATTCTAGTTTTCTCCCAATACTAGAGAATTTAGAGAGTTTTCTTGAGAGTAGTTTTCTTTTTTTATCAAGAGAGAATTGTCATTGTTTTCTCCTTGGTAGATCGAGAGAAGTTGTAATTCTTATTTTCTCATAGTGAAATTCGTCTACCGTTGCTCGTGGTTTTTACTTTATATTATTTAGGGGTTTTCCACGTAAATTTTGTGTCTTCTTTATCTTTAATTTTATTTCTCAAATTATCAGTTGCGATTTTGCTCTATCTGATAGCCGTATTCCACAACAATTGGTATCAAGAGTTATATTAGAGTGTGTAAAATCTACTTATTATCTTTGTGGTTGTCACTAAAAGGTGGATCCTCCAACATAAGAAAGTATGAAGGTATTACCCATTCTTTAAAGGTTCTAGAGAACTATTCACGATAGTGAAATAATGGGAGCTATCTGTAATAGAAGCTATGGCAACGAAATTTGATATTGAAAAGTTCAATGAGAGAAATTTCTCATTGTGGAAATTGAAGATGAAGGTCATCCTGAGGAAAGACAATTGTCTAGCAGCTATCAGTGAAAGGCCGGTAGATTTCACAGATGACAACAAATGGATCGAAATGGACGGGAATGCTATGGTAAACTTTCATCTAGCATTAGCAGATGAAGAATTGTCAAGCATCGAGGAGAAGAAGACAACTAAGGAGATATTAGATCATCTCACCAAATTGTACGATGCCACTTCGTTGCACAAAAAAATTTTCCTTAAGAGGAAATTGTACACTCTACGAATGCCAGAATCTACTTCAGTGATGGAGCACTTAAACATATTGAACACTTTATTTTCTCAGCTTACATCCTTAAGCTGTACAATAGGAGAACAAGAACGTGTTGAACTTCTACTTCAAAGTCTACCTGATTCGTATGATCAACTCATCATCAACTTGACAAATAGTAATATCACCAGTCTAGTCTTCGATGACATTGCAACTGTTGTTCTACAAGAAGAAAATCGATGCAAGAACAAGGAAGATAGACAAGTAAATATGCAACAAGAAGAAACATTGACAATGATGAGAGGGAGATCAACAGAACGTGGCCAAAGCAGCAGTCACAAACATGGTAGATCAAAGTCGAGAAGCAAGAAGAATTTAAAGTGCTAATAATGTGAAAAGAATGGTCACTTGAAGAAAGATTATTGGAGTCTAAATAAAAACTCCAATCCACAAGGCAATACCACAAACACTTCAGATGATAGAGATGTTCTATGTTGTGAAGCGTCAACCACCGTGGAAGGAAGAAAAAGATTTGTAGATATATGGCTCATTGATTCAGGAGCAACATATCACATGACCTCAAGAAGAGAATGGTTCCATCATTCTGAACCTGTCTCAGGAGGATCTGTGTATAGTTGCAATGATCATGCCTTAGAGATCGTTGACGTGGGAACCATCAAATTAAAGATGTATGATGGAACAATTAAAGTTGTTCGAGATGTACGGCACGTGAAAGCCTGAAGAAAAATTTATTATCCTACGGATTGTTGGATAATAATGCAAGCAAGATTGAAACACGAAAAGGAATCATGAAGGTGTTTCGTGGAGCACTTGTGGTGATGAAATGAGAAAAGATAACAACAAACTTGTATATGCTGAAGGGAGAGACTTTGATAGAAGCAGAGCCTCTGTTGCCTCATGTAGTTTAGATTATGCAATGTTATGATATTAGAAACTTGGACACATGTCAGAACAAGGAATTAAAGTCCTTGTAGAGCAAAAGCTACTTCCAGGCTTAATAAAGGTATCACTTACTTTGTGTGAGAATTGCATAACAAGTAAGCAGCACCGGTTGAAATTCAACACGTCAAATTCTAGAGGCAAAAGAGTTCTAGAATTGGTTCATTCTAACGTATGGAAAGCACCAGTTGTATCCCTAGGCGGAGCAAAATACTTTGTCTCATTTATTGATGACTACTCCAGGAGATGTTGGGTGTACCCTATTAAGAAGAAGTCAGATGTGTTTTCAACTTTCAAAAACTTCAAAGCGCAGGTGGAACTTGATTCTGGAAATAAGATTAAGTGTTCAGAACAGATAATGGAGAAGAATACACAAGTGAAAAATTTGATGACTTTTGCAGGAAAGAATGCATCAAAATACAGTTCATAGTGCGAACACTCCTCAACAAAATAGAGTGGCAGAGCGGATGAACAGAACCTTGTTAGAAAGAACAAGAGCAATGTTGAGGTCTGCAGGTCTAGAAAAATCATTTTGGACAGAAGCAGTCAATACCGCCTGTTATTTGGTGAATCGAGCTCCATCAACTGCAATAGAGCTGAAGACACCAATAGAGATATGGACTGGTAAACCAGTTGATTATTAAAACCTCCATGTATTTGGAAGTATTGTGTACATGATGTACAACTCCCAAGAAATTTCAAAGTTGGATCCGAAATCCAGGAAATGGGAACTCTTGGAGTATGTTGATGGAGTAAAGGGTATCTCTTGTGGGATCCCACTGCCCGTAAAGTGATCATCAGTAGGGATATTATCTTTGTAGAGGATAAACTACAAAGAAAAGAAGAAGATAATAGCGCTGAAAAGTCAGAGACTACACAGATACATGTGGAAAAGGAGTTTGAACAATGAGATTCTTCTGAAGCAGAACCAGCACATGATGAACAAGAACCAGAGAGTTCTGAAGCTCCAACAACTCATCAATCAGATCGTGTGAGAATACGTCCCAATTGGCACTCAAATTATATTATAGAAGGAAATATTGCATACTCCCTTTTAACAGAGGACGGTGAGCCATCAACATACCAGGAGACAATAAACAGCTTAGATGTTTCACTATGGATGATGGCGATGCAAGAAGAAATTGAATCCCTTCATAAAAATAATACTTGGGACATTGTGCCACTACCACAAGGAAGGAAGCTAATTGGAAATAAATGGCTCTTCAAAATCAAACGAAATGATGACGATCAAGTGGAGAGGTGTCATGCAAGACTGGTGGTCAAAGGATATGCTCAAAAAGAAGGTATTGATTTCAATGAAATATTTTCTCCTGTGGTTCGACTAACAACAGTTTGAGTATTTTTGGCAATGTATGCTACATTGAACTTACATCTAGAGCAGCTAGATGTTAAAACAACTTTTCTTCATGGAAATCTTGAAGAGGAGATTTATATGCTCCAGCCTGAATGTTTTAAAGAAAAAGAAAAGAATAACTTGGTTTGCAAGTTGAACAAATCTTTGT